TCCATCAGTCCTCAGTTTTTGTCAGCATTCAAGAGTCTCTCATGGTTTGCCTCTCTCCCTTTCCCCCACCATTTCCGCCCTTCTTCTCCCCCTTGGTCCTCCGTCAAGTTCCTCCTAATCCTCCTATACGTGCAAACATATGGTATTTGTCCTTCTCTGCCTGACTTATTTCGCTCAGCATAACACCCTCAAGGTCCATCCATGTTGCTACACATGGCCAGATTTCATTGTTTCTCATTGCCATGTAGTATTCCATGGTATAGATAAACCACATCTTCTTGATCCATTCATCTGTTGATGGACACTTAGGCTCTTTCCATGTTTTAGCTATTGTGGAGAGTGCTGCTATGAACATTGGGGTACATGTGCTCCTATGCATCAGCATTTCTGTATCCCTGGGGTAAATTTCTAGCAGTGCTATTGCTGGGTCATAGGGGAATTCTATTGTGAGTTTCCTGAGGAACCTCCACACTGTTTTCCAGAGAGGCTGTACCAGTTTACATTCCCACCAACAGGAAGCACAGACGTTTTTAATTTTCAACAAGCCCAGTTTCTTTTTTCTTTCATTGCCCATGCTTTTGGTGTCATCCTCAGGAAATCATTGGCAAATCCCACATCAGGAAGCTTTTCCCCTGTTTTCTTCTCAAGAGTTTTATAGTTTTAAGAGCTCTCAATTCACTTTTACAGAGAATATATATATTCTTTCTGAAATCTCCATACAGTTCAAAAGTAGAAATGGAACAGGCCACAATATCTAGCTGCAATGCAGTAAAAACTAGTCATTAATATTCTGGTAATTATACATGTAAGCATTGTGAAGAGAGTAGATCTTAAAAATCCTCATCATAAGAAAAAAAATGTGTACATGATGGACATTAACTAAACTACTGTGGTGACCATTGTGCAATATATACATGTATCAACTCATTATGTTTATACCTAAAAGTTATACAATGTTACATGTCAATTATATGTCAATTTTAAAAAAAAACCAACAAAGAAAACCAAAAGCACCAGAAGGTAAAGCAAGTAGTGTGGACAGGATCCCGACCTACCTCTGTTTCCTATGCAGTTGATCATAATACCCTCAAACAGCCAGTGTCAGTCTATTCAGGTCAAGTAAACACGTTTCTTCTAAACATTCCCAAACACACATAGCCTGCCCACCCACACCTCCACCCATCATCCCAAACAAAAGCAAACACACAGAACACTAGTACCTAATGACAAAAGGCTAACCACCTGGAAAGGTTAGAACCCTCTCTAACTCTTGGGTCAAAGAGAAAGTCAAAGGCTGAAATATAGATCGTTAGAAAATAAAACTGAGAACACTTACCTATGAAACATAAGCTTAAGGAATTCAAAAGGAAGAGACTACAGAGAAAAAAAAAGTTGATAATTTAGAAAATAAAAAAAAAGACTTGCGAACCAACAAAAAGTAAAGTTTTTTCTAATTAAGGAAACTGGATACAGCAGATGGCCAGGAATTGGGGGAGGAATGTGTGTGGTGTCAGAAGAGAGAAGAGGAATCAAAAACCCTGGCTTCCCCTGCTTCCTGTCACAGCCCAAGGCCGCCCCTCGGAGTTCACTTCTGACCGCTCACTAGATCTGCGAACTTGGACGGATTACTCAGCCTCTCTCTGAACTTCAGTATGTTCGTGTCGCCATACAAGGTGTGCACATGGGGATGGCTGTTATGATGCATCGTTGCTAATGAAATTGTTAATGAGAATATTAACATCTCATTTCACCCTATGGGAGGTGCTCAAGAGGAATACATAGGTAGAAATCTGAGTGCCAAGCCCAGGGCCTGGGGTGGCGGAGGGGGAATGGGAGGGGTACCTGTTCACCTGTGACAAAGGGAAGAAAGGCATCCAGCCGAACAGCAGGTCCAACCAGTCCAGGAGGCCCAGGGCTTGGTCAAGGTAAAACATGTGCTCCCTCCTCCTCCACTGTCTTCCACAGGTGGAGGAGGGTGAACATGAAGGTCTCACCGTCTATACAGGGAGGGACCTGGACTAGCTCTGCCTGGGGTTTTCCCCAGCTGTGCCAGCCTCTGGTCAGATCTGAGGCTGAACAACAGAGAAGGGAAGCCGGCTGGAGGGAAGTGGCAGTTTTCCAGCTTGGATGTCGAGAGTGCGGAGGGTGGCAGTAGTGGGATATTTACGGAGTCTCGATGCAGGTGTGGACCTCAGGATGCTTTTAGCTTCTTGCTTGTCTGTGCTGGCAGAAGTTGGCCTGTTTGGAGCACCAGGCAGACAGGGGTTCTCTGCACCTCGAGGGGCCTGTGAAGGAAGAACCTGACACATACAGGGACTCCCAAAGGTCACAGTGTGAGGAGCAGGGAGTAGTGGCCAGCCATCCTCAGCATCTTGGCCCCAGAAGCACAGAACGGTAAAGAAATTCTAGGTGATGGGTCCGGCTTGTGCACTTGGGCAACTTATTTGCTGGCTCTTATCCCCTGTAGGCAGATGGGGACACGAGGGGAAATGTGATGTTCCTGAGCAGAATCAAGGGCTTGCCATATATGTGTCCATCAAAACCACATGAACTGTAGGTCAACAGATGCAGTGCCCGTCCATTGCGTAAGTTGCCTGCAAGATCAAGATTGCCAGGAAGAAGCTGGTGTTTCTGCCTGGGGCTTTCTCTCCTTGCCCTCATGCCCTCATTTGGCTATAGGTAGAGAACAGTACCTGGCAGCACTTTGGGGAATGATCCCCCACATTCCATGATAATCCTCCTCAATTTGGGCAAGTTGCCTCCATGCATAAAGAATGGGCATGTGGCCTGTGATTCCTATGGTGGAGTTACCATAGACTTGCGGGAGACCTTGTTCTGAGATTACCTTTGTTTTTTTTTTTTTAAATTTTTTTTTTTAATATTTTTTATTTATTTCTAGGAGAGAGAGAGAGAGACAGCGTGAGCAGGGGAGGGTCAGAGAGAGAGGGAGTCACAGACTGAAACAGGCTCCAGGCTCTGAGCTGGCAGTCAGCACAGAGCCCGATGCGGGGCTCAAACCCACGAACCGCGAGATCATGACCTAAGCGAAAGTCGGACGCTCAACCGACTAAGCCACCCAGGCGCCCCATGAGATTACCTTTGTAAATCTGAATGCAATGAGAGTGAATGGAGGGTGATCTCAGCCATCCTGGGGAGGGATCCTTCCTGAGAATGAAACTACATTAAGGACAGAAGATCTATTCCCTTGTGGTTCAGATTTTGCCCGTAGACAAATTCCCTCTCTTCCCCTCAAGCCAGGCTTGTCTGACACTTTCCACCAGAGCAGCGCTCATACACCTGTGGTGGGTTGAATTGTGTCTCCCTCAAAAGATTCATTCAAGCCCTAATCTCTGGTATGTGTAGATGTGACCTTATTTGGAATTAGGGTCTTTATAGATGCGATCAAACTCAGATGAGGTCATATGGATTAGGGCAGGCCTTCAAACACAAAGGAAATTTGAGCACATAGACACACGTGGGGAAGAACACCATGTGAAGACAGGCATGATGCTTCTATAAACGAAGTGGTACCAAGGATTATCGGAGCCACCAGCAGCTGGCTGAGAGGCAAGGAAATTCCCCCTTGGATTCTCTCTCAGAACCTCCAGAAGGAACCAAGTGTACTGACACCTGGGTTTTGGACTTCCAGCTTCCAGAACCATAACGGAGTACATTTCTGTTGTTTGAAGCCATCCGGTTAGTGATACTTTGTTAAGGTGGCCCTAGGAACCTAACACACCCCTAACGATGGTATTGAGTGTAATATCACCTCCTACCTCTTCCATCCAAGAAACACACACAAGAGACTTTTATAAAGTGGAATCAATAGTATGCCATGTGTTACCTAACGAAGTTTTGGCAGCTGTTTTCATCAGATCCCTGGCCGATTGGCTATCTCTCTTCCTTCCGCAACTAAGCTAAAAGATATTTTAGTGTAGACCTCCATCATTTCTTGTCTGGATTGCTATAGTCTGTCATCTTTTTCTTTCCTGGTTCCTCCACCATACTGCCACTTTCCCTCCCAAACCTACAGATTTCGTCATTGGTTACCGAGGCTCTACAGAAAACTTCCAAGCTCTCCAGCGTGTCATTCAAGAACTCAAGGGATCTCATCTCAACTTCTCTCTGCATTGTCTGCCATCACTCCTTGCAATGTGCCCTATACTTTGGTGATAGCAAATTATTAGGTTCTAAATATTCCACATACGTTCACAGCTCCCTGTTGTGGCAAATGCAGCTTTGTCTAAAATGATCTGTTCGTTGGCTCACTCAGGAGCCAGTTTCGACCCTGTTCTGAGACCTAGCTTGCTATCTGGAAGCTGGAAAAGGCAAATCCTCTCTTTCCCAGACTCCACTGCTGCTACGGATAGTCATGTGACACAGTTCTGGCCAACGAGGTATAAGGGGAAATCCATGGGGAGGTTTCTGCTTTCTGGAGAATAGGGGGAAACATAGCTGTCACTGTTATTTGCATCTTTCTCCATGCATGTGGACACAATGCCTGTGCTCCTGCAGCCAACCTGTGACTATGACTGAAGGGACAAGAGAATTCTAGAAACTTCATCCCTGACATTGCTGAGCGAATGTGTCATCTCGGGTGCCTAACTCTGGACTTGTTATTATAAATATATAATGTAGGAGGCCTGAGTATAGGAAGAAGGGAGAATTTACTGTCTCTGCCTATTTTCAAGACATTGGTCTTCTGTGCTCTTGGTTGGAATGTCACCACCTTATTTACAGTAAGACCAAAATATAATAAGATATAACATAAAATAAATTTATTTACATATCACCCCAGCGCCCAGAACACTACTGTATTAGTTTGATAGGGTTGTCATGAAAAAAAATTAAAAAAGCACAGACTGGGTGACTTAAAGAAGAGAAACTTTATTTTCTCACAGTCTGGGGGCTGGAAGTCCATGATCAAGGTGTCAGCAAGGTTGGTTTCTTCTTCCTCTCTCCTTGTTTGTAGATGGCTTTCTTCTCCTGTGTCTTCACATCGTCTTCCCTCTGTGTGTCTGTGTCCTGATCTTCTCTCTTATAAAGATATCAATCATACTGGATAGCACCCCATTGACCTCATTTTATCTTCATCACCTCTTTTTTTAAAAAGTTTTTTAACGTTTATTTATTTTTGAGAGACAGAGTGTGAGCACAGGAGGGGCAGAGAGAGGGGGAATCACAGAATTCAAAGCAGGCTCCAGGCTCTGAGCTGTTGGCACAGAGCCCGATGCAAAGCTCGAACCCAAGAACCAGGAGGTCATGACTTGAGCTGAAGTCGGCCGCTTAACCAACTGAGCCACCCAGGCGCCCCTCTTCTTCACCTCATTAAAGGGTCTGTCTCCAAATACAGTCACTTTCTGATGTGCTGGGGTTAGGGCTTCAACCCCAACCGTGTTCATTTCAATATGAATTTTGGGAGGACATACTTCAGCCCAGAGCAAATGCTTACTATGTAGTAGGCATACAGCAAGCATGCTGTTGGACAAATGAGAAAGCTATGAGCATATCACTGGAAAATAAATGAGGGAAATAAACTGGGAAATCACAAAAGAAAAACTCAAATGGACAGTAAACACATCAAAATATGTTTGGTGTCACTGGAATCAAAGAAACACGAATTTAGTCAACACTGAGATACTATCATTGTGCTTATCAAAATGGCCCAAACTATAAAGAATGGACAATAGCCACTCAAATAGCCACTCATAGGAGGACAGATGTGTGGAAACTGGCCCTTTGTTACCTTTCTGGTGAGCATGTACTCGGCACACACCATGGGCAAGGTGGCTTAGCATCACTTTTCAAATACAGCATTCCAGCGGGTGAGCACACATCCTTAAAGAAGTGACCTGGAGGGTAGGCCTTACATCAAGTGAAGGAGGAGATAGGAGCAAGTAAGGCTGAGATAACAGTTTATGTGAAGGCCTGGAAGCCAGAAAGCACAGTGCCTTCAAAGAGATGGGAGAGTAAGGAGGGAAGGGGCCCCATCATGATGTCCCTCTTAGACCAAGGTCAACATGAATGTCGTCTTCCTCCCCAAATCCCAACTGCATCAACATCTACAATCATATCTAGTGCATCACTCTGTTTGACTTTGATTGTGACTTATCATTATCTAAATGGTCTTTATATATACAATTTATTTAAATATCTGTTCATATATTTGTTTCTTCCTCCACTCAACAAGAAAAAGAGTAGCTCTTTTTACCAACGGCAGTTATAAGCCACTGAATGGATTTGAGCAGAAGGTGATATGAACAGATTTCCATTTTATTTATTTATTTATTTATTTATTTATTTATTTATTTATTTGAGAGAGATTGCTAGTGAGTGAGGGAAAGAGGGGCAGGGGGGAGAGAGAGAGAGAGAGAAGAGAGGAGAGAAGGGGGGCTCATCTGACACAGGGCTCATGTTTTACCTGAAGTTCTGCTAGACCTCACCCGAAGTGGGGCTCAAGCTCACCCAGTGTGGGACTCGAAGTCACAAACCATGAGATCATGACCTGAGCCAAAGTCAGATGCTTAACCACTGAGCCACCCAGGCGCTCCAGATTTGCATTTTAGAAAGATCACTCTGGCTGCTGTGTGCAAAACCTTCTGATGAGTGGAGGCAGGGAGGCCATCAGGAGGCTGCTCCATAACCCGACCAAAGATTATAGTGACCAAGCCAGTGGAGGTAGAAAGTAGGTAGAAAGAAAGTAGTAGAAGGAAATAGATGGACACTGGAAAAATACTGGAGTTGGCATCGATAGACTTGAAATATTCAACCTTGGGAGAAGCGGCAGAAAGTAGGAGTTCCATCTAGTTTTGGGCTAGAGGAGTTGGTTGGTCATAATACATTCCAAGGGAGATCAAGGAGGAGGCATTGGAGGGAAAGATGTCAATTTCAATCTTAAACACATGGAGTTTGAAGTACTATGAGATATCCTCGTGGAGAAGTCCCAGGAAGCAACACATATATAGATATTATCTACATAAAGTCAAAACTGAGAGCCAAAACCTATAGTTGGGATGAAACTCCCCAAATCAGGTGCTAAAGCTACCTGGGACCTGTCTACCCAGCCACAACCACTAGGATCCTAAACAGCACAAATCAAGACCAGTCTCATGTGGCTGCCAGCACATGGGAGATGTTATAGGCTTCATGCCGACGCCAACAATATGGAAGGTGAGCACTGTCCCTACGTAAGGTTGATTCTGAGAGAAAGATTTCACAGGGTCCCAAAATTATAATACAGTATCTTTTCTAAAGGGTTAAGATCCCAGCATCTTCCCTTCCCCAAACGGTAACCACTTACATCCAAATTGGAACTGCCAGGTGGGGGAGGGTATACCATAAAGAAGAGGCAATTTTTTCTTTGTCGTATTGTTGAAAAACCTTTTCTCAGTTCATTGTTTCTCTTGTGTTTGTGTGTGGTTTTTTGTTGTTGTTGTTTGTTGTGGCAGTGTAATGGACTGATCACATTTTATTAGGTTCAGGTATACAACATAATGATTTGATATGTGTATATATTGCAAAATGATCACACAGTAAATCTAGTTAACAGCCATCACCACACATAGTTACAGAATTCTTTTCCCTTGTGATGAGAATGCTTAAGATCTACTCTCTTGGCAACTTTCAAATATACAATACAGTGTTATAACTATAGTCACCATGATGTACATTATATCCCCATGATTTATTTTTAATTGGAAGTTTGTACCTTTCAACTCTACACCCATTTAACCCACCCATGCCCCACGATACAACTCTGACAACCACCAATCTGTTCTCTATATCTATGAGGTTGGTTGGTTGTTTTTGTACCATAAATGAGTTATATGGTGTTTGTCCTTGTCTGTCTGACTTACTTCCCTTAGCATAATGCCTTCATGGTCCATCCACGTTGTCACAAATGGCAACATTTCATTCTTCTTAATGGTTGAATGATACTCCATTACACATATACTACCCTTCCTTTACCCATTTCATCCATCTGTGGACACTTAGGCTGCTTCCCTATCTTGGCCATTGTAAATAATGCATCAATTAATGGGGGGTGCATCTATCTTTTCGAATTAGTGTTTTCATTTTCTTTTTTTTTATTTTTTAATTTTTTATTTCTAGGAGAGAGAGAGAGAGAGCACGAGAGCGAGCAGGGGAGGGTCAGAGAGAGAGGGAGTCACAGACTCTGAAACAGGCTCCAGGCTCTGAACTGGCAGTCAGCACAGAGCCCGACGCGGGGCTCGAACCCACGAATCGCGAGATCATGACCTAAGCGAAAGTCGGACGCTTGACCAACTAAGCCACCCAGGCGCCCCTAGTGTTTTCATTTTCTTTGGATAGATACTCGGGAATGGAATTACTGGATCATATGTTCTATGTTTAACTATTTGAGGAATCTCCACACCGTCTTCCACAGTGTTTGCACCCATTTATTTCCTACCAACAGTGCAAGAGGCTTCCCTTTTCTTCACTGTGTATATTTTTTGTACATAAGTATGAATTTTTTTCAGTAATCAAATTTAAGTGATCACGTATTTTCTTTAGGATTTTTGAAGGTAAGCCTAGGGCTCCAAGTGTTCAATAAAACTCCCTTCTTTTTGTTCTTTATGAGTCAATTCTGAAGATTACTAAAAAAACAAAACAAAACAAAAACAAAACAAGAACTCACAAGGACAAGATAGAATCAGCAATATCTTAGGCAAAGAACTCCATTTTCTACACAAGCCAGGCTATGGTTCACTACCCCAATGAATTTTAAAAATTCAGTAATGTATTTATTCTAGAGTTAACTGTTGAGGATGCAGGTATTTCTAGGACACTGCGTCCTTTTTTAAGTACCTCCCAGGAGAAAAAATCTTTCAGGCATCACCAATCAGAACTATAAATTGGTTTAAGTTTTTGGACCATGTGAATGCTGTATTAGATTACATTTCTCCCTTTTGACTGGATACTAGGATGCTCAGATCCAATTTTCTTTATGCTTCCTTTAGACAAAAAGTGTATCTTCCCAAAGCATGAGTTTGGAGAACTCATATTTGCTCTGCTTTAAAATTTTTTCTATTTTTTATTTTCCTTCTTTCAATTTATCTTTTAATTGTATATTTGTCTTTAATATGGCATATCAAATCCTTATTGAAAGGGGGTGGGGAAGATAAAAATGGGGGTAAAAGAGAAAGGCATGCGTGCACACGCGAGTGCGCACACACACACACACACACACTGAGGGGAAGGATCTAACTCTCCCAATACATGCACTTAGAAATCACATTCATTATTTATATTACCAAATTACATTGAACTTCACCATGGGTTCCTTCATGTAGAATTCCCTGAAAACATTTACATTTTCATTTGCCTTATTAAAAAAGCTTCCCATAGGCACAGTATCTCTTCAACATGTCTGCTGTGTAAAGTGAATTTCATCTGTATTTCATACACCAACATCAATTCTGGAAGAACTCGATTCCATGCTTCCTCGGTTATTTCCATCTGTTTATCCTAGCTGGCTGTGTTGTGTAGGGTCTGAGTGTGTCAGGCCGCTCTTCTACACACAGGTTCCTCTCCATCCTCACTAGAAAGAGACATGCTGAGTTTACATGATCACTCGCCAACCCAAAGTGTCAGAGGCAAAGCAGCGAAGAACTCCTGTCTCCGGTCCCTGGGCTTTCACCACCACATCACAGTGACTCCTTCTTCTCTCCCAAATGATTCCGATTCTCATCTCACTGCTATGTAGCAGAAATATACAGTGTACACCTATGCAGCGGTCTCTCTCTCTCTCTCATACATGCACACAGACACGACTTTTAACTATGATGTGAGGTATAGCTTACTTGGTATATATCATTTCCAGGTCAAAATTAAAAATATAAATCCTAGAGGCGCCTGGGTGGCTCAGTCGGTTAAGTGTCCAACTTCAGCTCAGGTCATGATCTCGTGGTTTATGGGTTCGAGCCCCGCGTCGGGCTCTGTGCTGACAGCTCAGAGCCTGGAGCCTGTTTCAGATTCTGTGTCTCCCTCTCTCTCTACCCCTCCCCCACTCGTGC